AAAAATGGCAGTTAAGAATAAATAAATCAAAGACGACAATACTAAGAACATAAAGGTGGAAGATGAGAAGAAAATGGAATTTAAAACTAGTTTTAAAGTTGTGAAAAAGGTACAGTACTGATGGATGACTTACTGAGGAAAATTCTAAGCTTTACAAAACTAATTATGGTAAAATATGGAAGGAGATAAAATTGGATTTAAATAGATAGCAAAAATTAGATTTGTCATTAATGGGAATAATTTCAGTAATTACAATGAATGTACTGCCTAGAGTGTTATTTTTATTTCGAACTGTACCAATATTGATTAGAGATTCCACTTTCAAACAGTGCCAGAAAGATATATCTAAATTTATTTGGTAAAATAAAAAAAACAAGAATTAAATATAAGCTGCTACAAGATTCTAAAGATAAAGGAGGCCTGGGTTTGCCAGATCTTAGATTATATTATGATGTTCATTGTCTGGTATGGTTAAAATAACTTTAAAAAATTAAAGGCTGTTAGACCGCAAAGGTTTTTTATTTGAGATTTGGGTAGCATGCCTATCTGTGGTATGACAAAATAAAAGTTAGCCTGGTTTTAAGATTCATGCTATTAGGAAATGGATTGCACATGTATGGTGGAAGTATAAAAAAAGATTAGCTGATAAAGAAGCTCTACATAGAACAGAGATGATATTGGAATGTAAATAGATGACATATCAAGACTTATTGATAATTGAAAAAGAGGGGTTTAAGATAAAGGCAAGAGAGCAATTAGTAAATGAAGGATTTGCTTGTGATTGGTTTAATTATTATGGAATTTTGAAAGATTTAAATTTAATTTTAAAAAGTTTTGTTTTCACAGGAACTAAATCTGAACTGGGCTCTAATATATTTTCTGGAGATGACTACTTGATTTCTAAAGTATATAAAATGTTACTCAAGATGAACTAGAAGATGAATATGTTAAAGAGTGTATGGTAAAATGGACAAAAATGGTATAATATAATGCTAGATAAATGGGTGAATGTATGGAGGAATGAACTAAAAATTCCATTAAATTATAGTTTGAAAGAAAAAAAATTATAAAATGATGTATCATTGGTACTTGACCCCAGATAGACTAGTGAAAATGTATAACAGGATTGCTAATATATGCTGGAACTGTAGTCAAAATCCACTTTCATTTTATCATGTGTGGTGGTCTTGCAAACATATTGAATAAACAAAACAATGATAATATAAAAATATTTAAGATATAAATATTAATGAAACCTGAAGCTTTTATTTTAGATATGATGCACAAACCAATTGAAGAACAATTTGGGGTGCTAGTCCTTCGCATGGTGACGGCTATGAGGATTGTATTTATCAAATATTGGAAAGAAAAAGGAACGCTGACTGTTAAAGAATGGATTTTGAAATTGACTGAATTAACAGAAATGGCAAAATTAACTGATTGTGGACTTCCTACGCACATTCATACATACGTGTATGTGTGTGTGTGTGTGTGTGTGTGTGTGTGTGTGTGTGTGTGTAAAAGGGGAGGAGAATTTACTGCTTTTTCTTTTCTTTCAGACCCAGCCAGGGTGGATCCTATATGTTAAATATTAAATTCAATTAATCACTTTTTCCTCTTTTTTTGTACACTTTTTTCTTTTTTGTTGTTGTTAGGGTTGAATGTATGCTTTTCTTTGTTTCATTTTGTTTGTTTGTTTGTTTTACTGTTTTGTATTTTATTTTTTATGATAAAACAATAAATAATATTTAAAAAATGTGAACCTCATTTCACCTAAATGGATAATTTATTTTATGACATAAACTTGGTACTAAATGGAGAATTAAATTGTGATTCTTGTATTCTGCTTTCAGGATAAAAGAACTAATTGATGATTTGGATTAGAAATAATGGATAAAGAAATAATGGTGTACCCATATGCTATCATAACCAATTGCAATAATAAAACTTCTTCAGATATATAATACATGCATTTCAGACTTATGCATTTATTTTAATTAAAAGGGAAGATCAACTACTTTGAAATGGGAAATAATTATTCATACTGGAAGTTAATTTCTGAAATTATAGATGAAGTAATTCACACAATGTCTTAATCAGACTCTGAAAGATCTTGATTATGACAATTTTTACATTAGGTGCAAGAAGTTAAATAGGGTATTCTCTTCAGTTTGTAAAGTACATTATAAATCTGGTCTTCCTGTTGAGAATTTTTCCTCATCTACCTCAAAAGGCTGACAAGGATGGTATCTCTTAAAAGAAAACTTTAAAATAGAACCCTAGGCAATGAGACATTCTATAGAACATATCTCCCACATAACTTATCACAATTCATATCTGAACATGGATAACAGAAGCTGCTAATTGCTAATTATATTAACAAGATGTTTGTGTTAATATTTTGTCTAATTTTGATTGGTCTTATTCTATGTAATTAAGTCTTGAGGGAAACAATAAAATTATCAATAAGCTTGCTAAATATACATTCAGTCTTTCCCACTGATGATATATCAGTGCATCTGTGCCCAACAAGAGTTGGACAGTACTTATACAATACTGCGCCTTTACTTCACAGTCTAAAAAGTGTTCATTAAAGACATAAATTCTATGAAGAAAAATAGTAAGTGATTTTTATACTGAACATTTAACAGAAAAGCCATATGCTACTTTCAGGAGCAAATTGTCATTTAGTTAAATATCTCTCACTTGACTATTTGTTAGACTCAGTTCTATAATGTTAACAGGGGGAAGAGAATTTAAAGAAATAAAAGCATAACCTATTGATTTAATATGTTATGTGAGTTGAGAGGAAACAAAGGGAAATAATTTTCAGAAACTTAGACACAAAAAAGTATTATTAATCAAAATAATGAGAATCTATGCAGAATGGGATTTTATATGCTAATATGTATTTTAAATGATAATATCTCTCCCTGATGCGGATATCTGAAAAAAAAATACATTTACAGGTTGTAGAAATGTAGAAAATATTGGAAGATCTGATCTGTAATAGCTGAGTTAATATCACTGGCCTTATTTTTAGGTCTATTTACCTTTAAGGGACAACGTATAATGGCATTTCTGAAATTCTTTTTTCATTTATATACTACTAAAACTCTTGGTCCCATAACCTCTATCTGGGAAAAACTGCACACTGTAAACAAATTGTGACATACATTATCATAAAGCATTTTTGACTTAATACAAAATGTTATAAACCCTCAAGAACTTTGACTGTTATTAAATTCAACATGGACTATTTTCTGCTATTTTCATTGCAGAATGTAACCAATATCTCCCTGGATTTTTAATAAGTTTACCAGTGAAGGCAGTACATTAAAAGCTCTGCCATTTTTGAGGATATCGAGGAATTGGGTAAGAAAATTACCTTTCCTCCAACAAAGTCCCAGGCAGTCCCATTGGTCAGCCAAAAAGGAGGAGGAGGCTTCAATGGGACACTCCTGAGGGATATAAGGGGTGAAGAGCCAGCGAAGGCCTATATTATACATGGAAAGAAAAATGACCCATGGTTTGTCTAGTTATTGACAAATGGTTGAGTAGCAGTACTCAAAAGAATACTGATCTTTAAAAGCTCTGGTTGTGGCAGGTATGTCAATCTAATTTTTAGCTAAAAATTATGGGACAAAAACTCCATTATTTGGTTATATTTGATGGGAAGGTTGTAAATTTTTTTAGGGAAATAGAGAATGAGTACTATATCATGCCTGTGAAAAAAATTAAGAAAGCATATCTCTAGTTCAACACTTATCAATTAATGGTTTGGCAACGAATGACTTTTAAAATACACCATTAAGGTAGCACATTATTATACTGCAATAAAATACCATAAGTAATAACAGTAGAATCATTGAAAAATGTATGAATGGCAATCACAAATTGAAAAACCATATCCAAGAACAGAAGTAGTGGTTTAGACTATTGAATACAAATCCCTGATCCCTGCAGATCCTAATTAAAGTACCTTTCACACATGGCTGTCCATCCTCTGTTTGAAAACTACCAGTGAGGACCAATCACTATATTCCTTAATTATTGGTCTAAATAAACATGTTCTTTGGTCATTATATTTTATGTCATAGATCAAACTTTAGTAGTTAAATAGAATCATTGTAATAAAGAAATGATAATAGGTAATCTGATCTTATAGTCTTCATTTGATGCTTGGAAAGCTGGCAGACAGAAATGGGAGAAAGCCAGCCTCAACCTAACTTTACTCTCCCCTAAGAGTACAGTTGCTTACATATCACCTGCTATATGCATACTTTAAAGACAAAATGTCAGCTGTACAAAAAACATGAGTAAATGTGGTAAAAAGGGAGAAAGAAGTGCAAATCATGTAACATTTCTTTATAGATGAACCCCTATCTTTCCCCAAAACTATTTTGCCACTCTCTATCTGCCTTTGTCACTGTATCTCTTTATGAGTGTGAGTGAGTGCAGGTGCATCCTATACACATTTATACAATTAATATGCCTTTACTCATCGTTGTAACATTTTTTAGTATGTGCATACTTTCTAGCTTTGAAATATATTGTCTTTCTTCAATCAAGGGACATGCAAAACATGCATACATAGTTTTTCTCTAATAATATTTCTTATCTGTGCTTTCTTGCAGGTATGTCATAAGTTAAATATGGAGAATCAAACCACTGTTCCTTACTTTCTGCTGCTGGAATTCTCACAAAATCGGCAACTGCAGCTTTTACATTTCTTCTTATTCTTCATATTATACCTGGCAACAACAACAACAAATCTTCTCATCATCTTTATAGTAGTTTTTGATCATCGCTTATATAGTCCCATGTATTTCTTTCTAATGAATTTGGCTGTGCAAGACTTGGGCATTGTTTCAATCATTGTCCCCAAATCTATGGTAAATTCTCTCATTGACAGAAGACACATTTCCTATTTTGGTTGTGTTACTCAACTTTTTCTCTTTATCACATTTGAAGCTTCTGATTTCTTTCTCCTGACAGTCATGGCATATGATCGGTATGTTGCCATTTGCTATCCCCTGCACTATGAAATGGTGATGAATTGGAAAACCTGCATCAAAATAGTGATTCTGGTGGGGGTTACAGGTGTATTGTATGGAATGTTGCACACCATTGGCATCTTTTACATCCCTTTCTGTTCTAATGTTGTCAACCAGTTTTTCTGTGAAATTCCACATTTGCTAAGTCTACCTTGCTCTGGATTCAATCTAGTTGAGATTGGAGTTCTTGTGGCCAGTTTCACTGCAGGACTAGGCTGTTTTACTTTTGTTATTATATCTTATGCCATGATCTTCAAGGCAGTGTTGAGAATCCGTTCTGTAAAAGGAAGGCAGAAATCCTTTTCCACTTGTCTTCCCCACCTTATAATCTTTTCTATGTTTTTGGTAACTTCATGCTTGGCCTACCTGAGACCTCCCTCTAACACCCCAACCCATTTAGATTTATTATTCACTGTCCTATATTCCTTAGTTCCACCCCTGTTTAATCCAATCATCTATAGCATGAGAAATAAGAATGTCAAGCTTGCACTGTCTAAACTGTGGAAATTGTGACATTTGCCTTCACCTATGTTATTTGATTATCTTGCTTTGTCTTTGCCTTCAGTTTTCACTAAAAGGAAAAGCAATTGCAATGGGAAATACTGTATATGGGATAGAGTTTCATCATGTCATTCCAGATCAATGATAGCACTTGAGAAATTAGTAAACTACATTCCATATCCTGACTCCCTACCAATTCAATCAGGCAGAGGTCAATAGGGGAAGATGACTGAGAACAGCTAGAAGGACATGTAAAATTGATTCTTTTTGAGATGAAATACATATTTACATAATAGGAAGGCTCAGTTTAAAAAACAAGTTTGTAAATCTGTCTAACTTCTTTTAATAACATTATTACACTCATCCAGTTTAGTTCTGATATAGCTGTTTTTAAAAATTCTGTAAAACTTAAATAATATTTTATCTAGATTTTTTGTGTGCGGTTCACTCCACTTAGGATTAGTATTTGGTCTCTCTGGTCCTGTTATCATTGCTGTTTCTCAACATGAGCTATTTTGGAATAATTACCTGGAATGCATTGTTCCTATAAGTTAGTAGAAAATTGTCTTAAAACTGTGGAATCATAAATTCTTTTATCTTAAATCAAACTTATTATAACTTATTTTTACAGAAAACAAGTTAGTTTAGGCCTCCCCAGACAGATGATACAGTGGAACAAGCAATGATTACTGACTTCCCTTGAAGTTGATGATGGTATACTCTTAAGAAGTTACCTGGATCCAAGTCTGTTAGGCAAATTTGCCTGGTCACCAACTTCCTTGTTTTAGAGAAGTGTGACAAATGGGGGATAAGTGCTAGCTTCAGAGAACATTGAATGAAAAAGATTATCTGGATCCTTTTCAGTCTGGGTTAAGGCCAGGTGACAGCATTGAGAAAGATTAAAATACCTCTTTAATTCTGGCTACCCTTTTTGGACTTTCATCACCCCAACCCCTTCCATTATATATGCATCTCAGATTCCCATGCACAAGTACATGAGTAGACTACTTTGCATCCACATACTACTGCTGCCCATGTGCCTTAGAAAAGATTTCTACTCTACTCTGATGTTTATTGTAGCTGACTGCCACCAAATGATTATTTTGCCTTTTCAGTAATAGAGAGTTAGTGGAACCAACATAGTATAGAACTTGTCATTGGGAAAATTGTGCATAATGATAGTTAAATGATATGGCCCTATGGAAAGGAGAGTAGAACAGAGGTTCTACTAGATTATTTGCCTAGCAACAGAATAAACATTCCTGTTAGTGACAGTTGGCTGCAGGAACATTCCAAAGAGTGACATTTGGCTGCAGCCTATATAAGGGACTAGGTTACCCCCTTTTTCTTGGTTAGAAACAAGATCCAGCTTGCCAGCTTGTTTATTTTTCATTATTAGCATTTTAAAAAGTGATATTAGCACTTTAAACATGGCAGTCTTGGCCTCTTTTTTTAACTTTAAGAAAGTATTTCTTTCTCTTCTTAACCAAGACTATTTCTTTGCTATGTGAGAACTTGCTATTTCAGCAACTACACAATATAGAGCGTATTCTGAAAGTCCTTGAATACACTTGTAGCTTTTAAGAAATATATAAACCCAATTGGGAAAGAGTAATGTAACCTATCAATTTGCTACTTATGGAAGCTTCTCTAGAACCAATGTTTCTCTTCAATTCTCACAGGTAACCAGTGTCTTTTATTGTATGATCACTTGCTTTCAGATGCATCACATATAACAAATGTATGTATCATTTGTTTCTGTACCCAATTAGAAGAGCTGACCTCCCTTTAGTAAATTATTAGGACTGAACCTGAAAAATTGCATCAACCTTCAAAATTTACCATTGTGCAATGAGTCCCATGTGCATAGGTGAATTTAGAAAAGCCATATTAGAGTGATCTGGTAATTTTGCAGCATAATAAGCACAAGCAATAAATCTAGGGATGAAAGAAATATATATTTCCCTCTCATTTTAACTGTGACCTATTATTGCTGAGGTATTGGAGAAATGAGAGAAAATCTCTGAACACCAGGTTCAGCCAGGTAGTCGAGGTGAGAAGATGTGTTAAATGTGTAAGAAATAGAAACAATTTCGAAAGAGAAAAAGGCAATGGAAGATATGAGGTAAAATTTTATTTGTAACTTGTTTGAAGACTGAAGGGAATAATATAGAAATATTCAAACTGTGGCATTTAACTAAATTTGATTTAACCTAGAGAAAAATCAAACAATAATTATTTTTTCTGTATTTTCAAGCCTTATTTACCCCTGCTGCTTCTTTTAAATTTTTAAACTTTTAATTTTTTCTATTGACTTTTTTCATTTAAAAAAAACACTAAGTAATTATTTCAATTATACTGTATATTATTATAGGCATTGTTGCTACATTACTTTCAGTCAGTGGTCCCCAAATATTGGCATTTCTACTTATTTCCACAGATGTTTCTGCTGCCATGTCAATTGTTCTCAATCAATATTTCTTATAGTATGTTTAAAGTCAACTTAAAACATGTGACTCTAAAGATATATTTAATGCATTGGCATTTTATTAAATTCATCTTTGTATTTTCATGACCTTATCATGGTTTGCTACCATATATTTATCCCAGAAATTTGGAAATGCTTTAAAATGTTTAATTCTGCATTTTAAAGAATTTTTTGTAAAAAAGACAGAATTTTGGATGTGGTTTTAATACCTAGTTTTTTTTCCTATTTATAAAGCATTTACAGTATTGAACTGAAAGAACACACTGTAAATTGAAAAATATAGAAAATGAACATTTCCATGTTTTCCTAACCAGGAAAGATTGTATTTTCAGTATCATTTTTAAAGCATGTTGAAGACTAATGTACCACAAAATAAAAGAACCATAGTTGAACAATAATATATCTCCTCTTAAGTAGAAGAATCCACCTTAGAAAAGGCAAGGTGAGAACTGAGAAAAGAACCTGATATATCAAGGTAAAGAAAGAGAATTGACATGTAGTGGAGATAAGGAAAGATAGAATTGCTATTAGTATAAGAGTGTATTTAAAATATATATCAAAGTATAATGAGTGGCAAGGGAAAATGAGAAACAGGATGAACTCAGTGATAAAGAATGTACTTTGCTTACAGAAAATCCCAGTTTCTCTAGACAGAGTTTGGAAATATTTTAAGCTACCCAGAGTCACATTCCAAGAGATGGGTAACCATATAGTTTTGATAAATAAATGAGTACCTAAATGTTTAATTATAAAATTTATATTGTTTTGTAAAAGATGTTGTTCATATTTTTTAAACATATATATTAAGTATATCAAAATTACATATAATGCTGTTTCAAATGAGGTTAAACTATTGATTTTCATAAAATAACTGATCTGATCAATATTATATGGTATATTATAGTATATTATAAAATATTACACTATTTGATATTATATTCAATTATAGTATTAGTATGTACATTTTGTTTTCATACAGGAAAGAATACAAAGTCTTGTCTAATAGAACAAGTGTAATAAATTTTGTACTTCTTGGAATCTCTGGAAGTCATGACATTCAGATTTTATGCATCATACTTTTCCTGATTATGTATCTTTTTATTTTGGTGGGAAATCTTCTGATTATTCTTTTGGTAGCAATCAATAGTTATCTGCACACTCCCATGTATTTTTTTCTGATCAATTTATCCACTGGTGATCTTGGTTGTTCTTCAGTCATAATTCCAAAAGCAGTATTTAACACATTCATGAACTCAACATGGATATCATACCCTGAATGTGGGGTGCAAATGTTTTTCATTCTTTTTTTCCTGACAACCAACCTGTTCATTCTCACTATCATGGCTTATGATAGATATATTGCCATCTGTTACCCATTGCACTTTGCATCCATAATGAAGGGGTCCACTTGCCTACAAATGGCTGGGGGGGCCTGGGTGGTTGGATTTCTACATGCTTTGCTACACACCGGGAATATTTTTTCAATGCCTTTTTGCTCCAACGTCATTAATCAATTATTCTGTGAAGTTCCACAATTAATCAAGCTTGTTTGTTCTGACTCTTATCTCAGTGAAACCTGGATTCTTGTCATTAGTTCAGGTTTAGGAGTGGGCTGCCTCATATTCATTATCCTGAGCTATGTGCAAATCTTTTCCACAGTGCTGAGAATGCCCTCAGTTGAGAGAAGGGAAAAGGCTTTTTCCACTTGCATCCCCCACCTTATTGTTGTTTCCCTATTTGTTGGAAATAGTTTCTTGGCTCACTTAGCCTACCTGATGCCCACCTTTCTGTCCAAATTGGAGAAATCATTTACTATGCTATACACTCTTGTCCCTTCACTGATGAATCCAGTAATCTACAGCATGAGAAATAAAGATATCAAGTCTGCCTTTTGGAACTGCCTTGGTTGGAGGCATTTTAGCAAGAAGTAATGCAAATATATTTTTTCATGTCATTATGATATTAAGCATAATGACAACTAGTTGAGGTTTCCTAATTTTGGGTTTCTCTGTATAACTTGATTATCTGTGTGATTTTTAAATGTGATTTATTTATTTATTAAATTTCTGTATTTCAAGAAGGGAATGAGAGTTATATGGATAACAAAAACATTCAAAGATTTTTTGGGAATTATTATACCAATTTATGAAAAGAATAAGAAATCTCTTTAGCTATACTATGGAAGATTATATAACAACTAATAATTTTCCTAAACTATCGGAAAACTGCAAGCATATTGAGCTATGTGCAGATCTTTTCTACAGTGCTGAGAATGCCCTTATTTGCATCCCCCACCTCATTGTTGTTTCGATATTTGTTAATAATAGCCTTTTAGCTCATTCAGCTTACCTGATGCCAACCTTTCTGTCCAAATTGGAGGAATCTTTTACTGGGCTATACTATCATCCCTTCACTATTGAATCCAGTAATCTACAGCATGAGGAACAAAGATGTCATAGCTGCTTTTTGGAAATTCTTTGATTAGGGACAATGAATTGCAAGAAGTAATGCAAAGCTCCCTGAA